TCAGGTTCATCAAAGTTTCACCCGCTCCCCACAAGGCCAACTACTGACCTTCTCCCAGGATACAACCTACAACAGTTGCCTAACTCCTGAGTACCTATTTATTGCTGGGTGAAGAGGCATTAGGTGACAGGAAATGTGCCCAAACTATTTTGTTCAACTGAAGGAATCGAACCAGATAACCTTTTGTTTGTGAAAGGTTGGCACGATGTTTGCCCTCGGCCAGTTACAAGTTAGATGACCCTGATCTTAAAATGTCAACGTCTGAGCTCAACTCACTAGTTAAAAAAAAAATAAAAAAAAAAAACTGGTCTCGCAAGTAGACTGCACAAGAAAAAAAATTGGATTAAGCTTTAATGATTTGAATTAGCTGCACCAAAAGTAATACATTTCCAGCTATGCAGTAATATAAAGAACATTTTTATTTTCGACTAGCTGTACTCGGCCACACGTTGCTGTGGCTCGGCAACGCATGTGTATTGCTGAACCACAGCAACCTTCTCATGTCCCCCAGTCCTCCCGACCTTTCTCCCCTCCCCCGTCCCCCTTGTCCTCCCAACCATTCCCCACTCCCCCAGCCCCTTGTCCTCCCCACCATTCCCTCGTCCTCCCCACCATCTCCCACTCCCCCGTCCCCTCGTCCTTCCTACCACTACCCCCTCCCGTCCTCTCTTCCTTCCCACTACCCTGTCCCCTCGTCCTCCCCGCAATTCTCCATTCCCCATCCAATGCATTCCCAAATGATCTGATGTTCCCATCAGAAAATTGGGAACATGAAATGATCTGATGTTCCCATCACTGAAAAATAAGAACAGTTAAAAAACAATGAAAACAATGAAAAATTAAAAAAATTAATTATACTCACGAAATGAATGGTATGGTAAACAACACAGTTCAATTCTAATGCAATGTCACACAAAATAGTTAAATCAAAATGAACATAAAATCAAAATCTATGAAAATTCAATTTATCAATGCAATCAGAAACATTTAAATGGAATCATAACATATTTAGTATAGCGTGTGATGCTCATACGTGCAACAGATGATGCTGTTTTACAAAAAAGCATGGTTTTACCTGTCACAGGTGTGGCATCTATATGGTAGATGAATAAAAACCCGCGCATATTCGAATGGAACGTTGTGTCAAAATTTCAAAGTAATTTGTGAAGAACTTTCGGAAATAACAGCGTGTGTTGATCTTACGTCCAACAGATGGCGCTGTTTTTTTAAAAAGCATGTTTTTTCCTGTCACAGGTGAGGCATGTATGTAGTAGGTATATAAAAATGCGCACCTATTCGAATGCAACGTTGTTTCAAAATTTCAAAGCAATCGATAAAGAGATTTCAAAGATTTCATTCACAAGTTAAAAAAAAAAAAATCGTTTTTTCTCGTCACAGATGTGACATCTATATACAGTAGTATGTATATAAAATCCGCTCGGATGCAAATGGAACGTGTGAAAATTTCAAAGCATTTGGTGAAGAACTTTTGCAGTTTAGCGCTTTTGAACAAACGAACATTTACATTTTCATTTATATAGAGTGCAGGCCCACATTTAGAAACAAAATTCATAATAAAATAAGAGCATAAACACTGAGGCTCTAGTGGAATACCAACAATGGTTAGGAACATAGTTCTGCAAGTGATTTTGTGTTGAACTGGTTTTTGTTTTGCATTCTCAAAAATAATCATATGTATACAAAAAGATATTGTATAGTTAAATCACACAAGTACCCCACTGTATGCTGTATATGAACAAAACAATCTTATACATGTGGTAATTGCCCATTACTCTCTTATGTCCAAGTATACTGTATATTATATTCATGTCATTATTTGACTAAAGTAGTTATATTTATGGATTAGACAGTTTATCTGAATTTAATAAATCAATACAAATAAGGATTGCTAACTACTGCATTTATAAGAACCTGATATAAATATTTTTAAATGTAAAAATTATACACTTCTGGTTATGCCATTTCAATCTTTGATGACACAAGTAAAAAGCTGTTTACAAGTATGGGGACCTTTGAATGAGGAAATTTCCACCTCAATGGATATACTGTGCTGTACTAACATCAAAATTAAACTAATTGTAAAAAACAAAACAACAAAAGTTGAAAACAAATTACTGCACTTGGCTAATGCACTATAAGCAGGTGTTGGATGCAAGAGCAAATGGATAACATGTGTGTCTGGAAGAAATGTTTATATAAGCACTTTTACTTACTCTAACATTGTTTTCCTTGGTCTTAAGATGGCTGAGTTGTAAAAATACCAATACTGTATACACTTTGGTTCACTGGAGCCTGAGGGTTGAACTTTGCAACCTAAGCAGCAGCTCTCCACAAAATTAGAATATGGGCAGGTACAGTATGTGATTACAGTACTGTATTGTACTCTGCTGTAGAGCCTGTAGCTATGACACCTGTTAATACAGTATACATGCCTGTAGTATATTTATATAGAACATTGCATCTTGAGTCACAAATATTTTACTTAAGCATAGTGATACACTTTCACTTACCTGCTAAACAATTTAATTCTGTTGACATGGTGCAGAATAACTGTATAAATCAAATGGCATTTCATTTAATATGGATTTTCTTTTTCAAATTTATTATAATACAGGTAAAGGAAGAAATGGAAGGTATGCTGTCCACAAGTCGAGATGATGGTGGTGAGGGTTTTATATAGCATTTGCAACTGATAAAACACATGATGTCACTGACAGACTGCACAAGGAGAGGGGGTGGCAAGTCTTATAGTCAAAGTTGATTATTGCTGTAATAAAGTTCACTTAATGCTCAGCATTCTCTCTCAACTCCGGAGCTCTCAGTTCCTGAGACGGTGGTGGAACCAATCGTATTGGCGTTTGCCTGTCCATTGGAGACTTTTGGCGTCATGGAGAGGGGTGGGGGAACCTGCTGCTTGGGTAACTTCTCCTCCTCCGTACCAACCTACCCTGGCTTTGCACCCTGGAGAGGCCACTCCAGACCGACAACCAGAGCGCAACTCCATAGTCGCCCGAGACTGATGGATGCCTACTATATAGAAAGTGGATACATATTTGAGAGAATGCTGAGCATTAAGTGGAAGGGTTTCCCCTCTATGATTTAAGTCAAGAGCTGGACAAATTATTTTGACATCCTTATTGATGTACAGTATTTAGGTCTGTAAATGTATCATATATTTGATTACTTGTAATGGTTAACCATTATTATGTATAATTAGAGGGAATACTAGCTGTGTCCAGGTTTCTTCCCCACACCCCCTCCCCTTCTCCAATTTTCTCTCCCCTACACCTATTGCCTTCCTTCTCTCCCTTTCTCTCATAACAATTATATAACAAAGCACTGAAACTTGTGAATAAGTGTTTGGGAAACACAATCAATATTTCAGATTTGATTTCATGAACATTGTACAGGAGGGGTGGGCATTGTGGGTGGGTTTAGATGCAAATATTTCTTAAAAGTGTGGCACTGGAGTCGACTCTGTCTGGCCTATGACACTTTCCTACCTTCATGTGTGAAATTTGGGAGATGCCAGCCCCAAGGATTTGGCCAACAACCTTTGCCAGATAGACAACTTCTATTGATATAGATGAGGTTCTAAAGCATGTTTATGCTGAATAACTGTTACGTTTTTGTACAAGCAGACATCTCGGTTCATGGAAGGTTTCTAGCATGTACATTACTATGTAATGAACATAATGTTCACAAAAGCTAGTTTACAAAAATAAAAATAAAAAGTTGTAGGCTCCGTTGCAATAAACTGTCAAGCAACAAAGTACCAGTAATTGTACCCAATGATGTACTGTCATTTAACTCAAATTCTAGTTTATATTTTATTATCTTTAACTGTAAATGGCAGTAGGAAGACATGACAGCTATAGATGCCCACAAAGCACTACTTTAGATGAAATGGAGAGATGATGATGCCTCCTTTTTAACTAATTTGTTTATGGATACACTTGCATAGCAAAACTGTTAAGTCTGCCTCACTCTCCAAATTTGGAGTCTCCAAATTATGCTCTCAATCAATGCATATTCCACTTTTTTATTTTGTTTTACTTGCCAATTTTCTTTCATGGCTAGTGTCGTACTTTATACTTTACCCCTTGTATAAATTGTCCTTAGGACAGTCTATATTGTTGATACACATTCTTGCTTCACAGTACAGGAATTTTTTACTCACCTAGTTGTGTTTACTGGGATTGAGCTTCGACTCTTTGGTCCCGCATATCAAAAAAGCCGAGGTCTGTGTCTGTGAAGGACAGTAAATATTCACAAGCTTTAAATTTGAAAAAATACAAAAATGTAATTTTCAGAGGGAGCCAAGGTATCAATGATATTGAGAAAAAAATCATTGAGTAGATTGGCTCTTAGCACCAGGAGAAAATCTAAATACTCCACACACATTTATATTATTTTCCAAACATTTTTTTTTTAAGTTATACAATTCAGGTACAAACATATAAAATATATATAATTATGTACAGTACTTACTGTTTTGGTATACAACATTTATCCTTGTAAACTGCCTGATCCAACTTAAGACCTTGCCTCAGAACTCTCATCTAGCAGAGAACTCAATAATTTTGATTTTCCATCTTTTGTTATATAACAAAAGTGCTAATGTCAACACCACTCCTCAGGCAGCATCCTCACTCCCCAGCCAGCTAGGATCACTGCTCTATTAATCATTTTTATTCATGTTAACATATGTCTTCTTTTTTGTCATGTCAGAATGCTCTTGCTGGTAGACATCTTTTCTACTACAAATAAAGCAGTATCCAAAGAAAAGTGGATAAAAATCCATTGAGTAATCAAAGGTCAGCCACTCGAGCACAGAGGGAAGTAGAAATGATAAACCCAGGTGCACCCCATGTCGGTGGGACGTGATACCCATAGAACAAATGAAATGTTCTATTAAGTACTACATAATATTTAGCATAGTTTAAGCACAGTAAATGACTTATAAAATAAAACCATTATTTTATATTAATACTGTGCTATATTTACTTATATACTCTATTCTATGAAAGGGAAAAATAGAATATTTAAAAATTTTGATAAAAAAATACTATGTAGGTGTGTTCAGATTCCTTGCAATTTTTTTTAAGTTTGTTTCAGTTCAGACCTCTCTTCCAAATTCTTTCATTAAACTGTATGTAAAGTTTCTGCAATACTGTACAGTACTGTACTGGAGATATTGAGGGCCAGATTTTTTTTTAGGTCACATTGCATTTGTTATTTATTTTACATTGCTTTTTTACAGAACTTGAGGGATAACCATACTAAGAATCTTCCCAACATTTCAGCAATTAACAATCCTAAAACATTTATGTTTGACTGATATAAAACTTGACATCTTGTTTCTTCAACAACACTTCTCTCTGGTTCTCCAACACTTCAGTGTGATGGCTGATTAATAACTGAAGTGTTTTGTAGTCTTATAAATTAAAGGAGGAGTATTTTCACAAAATTTTACCTAGCATTAGTTTTAAAGCATATATGTCTGAAACATTGAGAAATACTTGATAAAATTTCTGGATCAGCAATCCCTTTCTAGGAATTGAGAAGGAACACATGATGTTGACACATATATTGATACAATAAAATGAAGTTCAATGTTCCAATTGGAATTTGACCTCACACTGTAACAAGCCTTGAATATGTCCAGGTACAATACAGGCTACCAATGGTTAAGCACAGTAATACTTGGGAGGATTTGACTGATTCACACTAGCATGAATGAAAAAGCTATATATTGGGCATGTGACTGACAATATACACAAATTTGTGGATCATACACAAAATTGGTTTTGTGTATGATCCTGTTTCTGAAAGTTTATAACTTTAATCCCTTAAAACACTACTTTTCGTGTTTTAAACACGTGTAAGGCCAAACTAACAATAGATTTGATATAGAAATTACAGTACATTTAAAGAAAAGATAGGATACATTTTTCATGAATTTGCAGCAACGTGTGCAAACAATTTAGCTATAATGTGCCAATCTGTATTGTATGTAATAAATATAATTCATACATAAAATCGAAACTGGGTTGTAAACAAAAAAAAACCATCTCTCTCCTAGAAGGATGACACCCAAATGCAACAAATGCCAGCACAAAAAATGAAAAAAGTCTCTTGCAGTGTATTTACAAGTCTGACAAATGTTTCTTAGCTTACATTCCAATATATCAATGAAAAATATATTTGTAATTTATGATGCAACATCAAAATACATCAATGTAGATAAGCGAGTGCAATATTATCAATTGAACATATTCCACAAATAAATACATTTCACAAAACTGAGTTACATAGGTTTTCAGAGTAATAACAATGATTAATTATGGTAGGTAAAGACAGCCACATATCAAATATAGTCTAATAACATGATTCCATTACTCTATTCCTTAATGGGTTCACTGCAGAACTTCAAATTCTTCGTCATCAGAATCAAACTGGTGATCTTCAAACTCCACATCTGAAATTATGATTACATTATGATAAATATGATCATTGAGTATAATAACAATGATAAAAACAAATATGATACAAATTTAATCACTAAAAAAATTATGAATAAAATTCACTGTACAGTAATGTATTTTATCAATGAGCATTACATATAGACAATTGGAACAAAACAAGTGAGAAGGTTGTGGAGGCCAAAACCACCATTAGTTTCAAAGTATCATATAATAAGGAGTACAGGACACCACGAATGTATTTCTCATCCTCTAACTACACTTAGGTAATTACTGTACACACAGAAATAATCACACACACACACACATCTCTAAATGGAGGTGCACAGATGGAAGAAGTACTGCATCCAGCAATGTTAGTAAATTGCAAAATGTTAAAGTTGGGAAATTATGATCAATACTTTTCATGCAAAAATGGAGAGAAGCTAAAACGCAACCTTGCTTAAGTCAAACATTTAAATGAGAATAGGAATGAGGAATAATTAATATTTTTTTTTTATTTACAGTGACACCTCAACTTACGAATGCCCCCATTTACGAACTTTTCGGGTTAGGAGCCCAATTTCTTCATAAAATTTGAATTAGGATACGAGTTTTGCCTTGAGTAACGTAGTTTGTTGATGCGCATATGGGCGACCTAGCTCGTGGTTCCTGGTGGCATGGTTGCTGCACTTCAGTTTACGAGTGCCTCCTGCTTAGTGACGATCGAGTTTGAATTCTTTGTAAAGAATTTCATTTTTTTTTGGTTTTAAACATAACATTTATTATTATATATCACACCAGGGGTTGCAAGAAAGTCAGTAGTAAGGTTCAACCAAAGAAAACACATGTGAGGATGACCATAGAGCAAAAACAAGAGATCATTCGTAAACATGAAAATGGTACACGGATTGTTGAACTAGCTAGGCAGTACAACAAATCTATGTCAATAATAAGCACTGTAATTGCTAAGAAAAAGGACATTATGAGTGCTAAAGTGGCAAAAGGCATATCAATAATCACAAAACAAAGAACACAAACACCTGAGGATGTTGAAAAGTTGTTATTAATTTAGATACACAACAAGGAGTTAGCAGGTGATAGCATTGCAGAGGCCATCATTTGTGAAAAAGCAAGGCTATTGCATGAAGACCTTATAAAGAAAACTCCTGAAACAAGTGATGCAGATACAAAAGAGTTTAGGGTGAGCAGGGGATGGTTTGAAAAATTTAGAAAAAGAAGTGGCATTCACAGTGTTGTGAGAGTTGTGAGTTGATGGAGGAACACAGCAAAGAACTGACCACTGGAGAACTCCTAACCTTTCACAAGGAAGAGCAACAAGAGACAGCTGAGGAAATTTCTTCAGGGGGGAGGAGGACAGAATGTACAGAATGTCCCTTCCTCAACAATTAACAAGTGATGTGAACTATGAGAAGAAATGCAAAGTTTTGTTGAAACGACTCACCCAGAGCAAGCTGCAGTAGGCCATTGCTTTAATCTTTTTAAAGACACTGTGATGCCTCACTACAGATAAGTGTTAAGACATAAGGAAAAACTCTATGGCAAGGTTCTTAGTGACACAAACAAGCAGTGAGTCACAATCAGGGGCCTAGTGGTATGCAGGCAAAACATAGGAGAGAGAGTACCCCAGACAAGTCATCAGTGTCTGATGATATAACGGAAGGGGACTCCCCTTCCAAACACTAACACCTCTCCTCCTCTCCTCACCGTCTTCCATACACCAACAGGAATCACTAATAAAAGTAAGCTATGACTTGCACATAGTATAGTACTAAATATTTGTGTTTATTAGGTCTGAAATGTATTTTGAAGTTAATATTTTTGGGAGTGTGGAATGGATCATTTCAATTTACATTATTTCTTATGGGATTCGTTTCGGGTTGTGAATTTTCGGGTTACGAGCCGTCTCTGGGAATGGATTAAATTCATAAATGGAGGGGCCACTGTACTTATTACTAAAAAATAATAAATAAATAAATAAATAAATACGGTGAACCAAACCAGAATCATTTTCCTCGATGTTTCAAAGTTTGAACACAAACCACTAGATATATAGAACTTTACCAAAGAGAATTATTAGACAAAAACACTGTACTGTATTTCATGCCAATGACAGTAAAGGTCAATTATAATATTAGAAAACTCTTTAAATCATACTAATTCCAGAAGCTCCCTCAAAAGACGAGTCATCCTTCATGTAGTCAGGTCTGGTGGGGACCAATTCAAAGAGTGGCGTCTTCTCAGCATCTATGAGCTCTTGCCTCATTCGATTGCATAAATCATCAAATTCTTTCTCTGAACCACAGTAAAAGCACTGTAAAAAATATAAATTATTTTTTAAAATCAATTAATGAATTGGATCATGTATATCTTTCCTACATTTTCTTTCTCTAGAAGGTATGACATTTGCTTCCAAGAATGTGAATATATAAATAAAATAATTATTTACTGTATAAAATGCATAAAACCAGCATTGAACGTAATGAAACACAAATTTCTGAGCAAGTCCCAGTGGCTACCTAAAGATATCTTGCTGACATGGTTCCCAACTACAGTAGTTGGTTGCATCAGTCGCAGAGTTCTCGTATGCCTACCAGAGACCAGAGCCAGAACCTAGCCCCTTCAAAGAGGCACAAGGAGTAGGGGAGCAGATGAGGCTTTGCCACCTCACCAGAGAAGGCATCCAGAAAGTCAGCAAATCCAAACAGACCACTGCTGTGTTCAAGAGAGACCGAAGCCTTGCAACCTGCCTAATAAACTTCCCCAACTATGTAAACAAATTATCGAATCTCTCGAGACTATTGTGCACACGTTCATCCCCCTTCCCCCGCTTATTTGGAGGAGGAAGGGATTCACAGTATCCAAGGGCCCAAGCCCTATGTTCTGGGGCAAATGCACACAAAATCCTCATCCGACAATCTGGGGCCAGATTCACAAAGCAGTTACACAAGTACTTATGAATGTGTACATCTTTCCTCAATCTTTGACGGCTTTGGTTACATTTATTAAACAGTTTACATGCATGAACACTTCCCAATCAACAGTTGTTATTGTTATAAACAGCCTCCTGGTGTTTCAGAGCTCATTAACTGTTTAATAATTGTAAACAAAGCCGCCAAAGATTGAGAAAAGATGTACAGGTTCATAAGTGCTTGCGTAACTACTACATGAATCTGGCCCCAGGAAGGGACGGAGGGAATCAGGCAGCCACGTGGACTCGCCCAGAAATTGGAGTTTCATTGCATTCAACACTGATTTTCTAGAGAGAGCCTCATGTGGTTTCCTGAAGCTTAACTACCCACAAAGAAAAAAAAAATGCATGGATCCACCAGTGAGGCGGGAGAACAGCAGGCAGTCAAGACAATGATGAGACACCAGGCCAAGAAATATGACCAAAGGCCACACAATGTGGAAGATGAGGCAAAACTAAATACTGGGCCTCCAGAACCCTGTTAGACTGACAAAACCTCCGAGCCTGAATATCATCCCAGAACATACAGTATTAAGAAAAAAGTTGTCAGAGCAGCATACTTTCAAACAGCATGGGCATGAGGGCTAGCTAGATTAACACTGCAGACGACCTGAGAAACACGAGCCATGGAATGGGGAAACAAGGACAGAGGATCCACCCACAAAGCATCCTCCAAGGCAGATTGGTGGCACAAAGGTAACAGCAAAGCTGCCTTTAGAAACAGCACATGATGCATCCCCGGCTGAATCAACCAAGCATCAACAACCAAAAAACCCTCCAGAAGCTAGCCAACTCATTCTTCACCAGAAAAGAAAGAGCAGGCTGCAAACAAACAAAATGCCCAGCATGGCCAAAAAAAACAAACCTGCACCTCAAGAAGAAAGCATGAAGCTCCCTAACTTAAGAACCAGAGGCAAGAACCACCAAATAGAGAGAGCTTGAGATAAAGAACCACAGACTAAAGGGGGACAGCATAAACCGAGAAGAGGACAGGAAAGAAAGAATGCAGTCCAAAGACCAAGCAGGCTCAGGCAGTGCATTAGCCGGCTAGAGGTGAAACAATGAGTGAGACAACTCGTAAAAAGACACCGAGGTAGTATTTATGTCTGCAGCGGCTCTACTAGCACCAATATGCTTGTGCCGGTGTTTTGATCGGCAAGTTAAGAAAGAAATGAGAGCACTACACGCTCAGAAATAGAAAAGCAATGACGAAGAGAAAGGAAACAGTGAAAAAGAGCTCCAAGAATCCTCATACTCCTGCAGGCATGACACCATTAAAGTAACCACCTGCTCACGATAATAATGATGATAAAGTCACACCAAAAAGTCCAGACGCAAAGAGTGGAGGACAAACTGGCGAACTATGTCATCAGGCCGATCTTCTGAAAAAAGAAAGAACCATGTAAAAACACCTGGGTTTGGACACCAAGCAAGCCGTGTTGGAAGGACCACTTTTCCTTGGAAGGACTCCAACCTCACCAGGACCCAGAGCAATAGCTGGGCCAGGAAGGGGGGGGGGGGGGGAAGAGGTACAAGAATCCCCACCTCTACTGGTTCATCTGAAATGCATCCACAACGAAGGCCTTGCTATTGGGTTATGGAGCTGTGCAAAGAGAAAGGTGCCGATTCCAAACAATGCAAAGAGGTTCACTTTGGGGGCCCCCGAACGTCTTGCAAAGCCATAAGGAGGAGGCAGCATTGATGGACTACTCCATGGAGATGGAAGTAACGGGAACAGACCATACACGAGAGCATTGGATACTCCCCGAATGTGAAACGTGTGGAGAACCAAACCCGAGAATCCAGAAGAAGAGCTATTTACAGCGTCTAACTTCAATGGACAATGGATCGAAGAGAGCACCCCCTGGTTCAGACAATAGACCACTGAGGTACCTTTGAAATGGAGCCAGAACATGGAGCCCAGAGGACTCTGAAATCTCCTCAGAGTATGCCACACAGTGGCAAATTCCCGCACCGCACTATGTGCCTGACGAAAAGGGAGAGACTGATGACCTCAAGCAGCCTGATGAGCACTGGTCATGAAGCTCCAGCCTAGTGATGAGGCTGAAGACGTCGAGCGAGGAAGATGCCAGGGAATCAAACCCTGAAAAGCCCAAAGAGGAAGCCAGCGGCACAGCAGCCAGCAAAGTGCCAACAGAGTCCAAACTCAATGGTCAGGGCAGCAGCAAAATGACAACATTGGAGGAACCAGAACAGCCTCTGAAGCCATATCCTGCCTAGTAGAAAAACCAAGCGGGCAAAGTTCAGGTTCCCACACAACAGCTAGAGCATCCAACCGAGTCACCTGGGGCTGCTTCAACACCAACTCTTGACATTTTTTATTTAAACTCTGTAATTTTTTTTATTTGGTGGGAGTAACCAGATTTCAGAAACACAGAATATGAAAGGGTTAGAAACTCAATGTGCTGTACATACCAAAGCAAGAGAAGGGTCCAAGTGTTCAAAGGGCATACGCTGAGCATAAGGGCAGTGGTACGACTTATCTAACTCAACTTCTTCTTCAGTCCTTTTTTTCCCTGTACTTCCAGCCTCCTGTGTTGTGTGGGGATCAAGGAACACCAACTCATCACCTAAAACAATTAATTTATAAAACAAATAATTGATAAAACAGACAATTTGAAAGACTAAGGTTTTATAAATACTGTATACTGTATATGTATGTAATGTAACAATTCTACTATTAAAATGTGCGTTCCTAGACTATATGTTAGTTTTCTTTGCTTGCCACATTTGCTGGCTTGCCAACATTACCAACAGGTCTGCCACCTCTAAGTCTCCACACTCAATACACTTGTGATTCCAAAAGATCATACAACTTAGGTTATACCAGTATTCATTCATTACCAAAACCTATTACATTTACCAAGTAGACTCATTCATATTCAACAAAAGTGTCACTATCAAAGAGTCAAAAAACCAACATTGAATGTAATGAAACGCCATTTTCTGGGCTGAACAGAGCGCACAGCACTGCTGTTCAGCGCGTGACCACAGCATCGCCTAATAATGTCCTTTTTTCACGAGTTTTCAGCTGTGGAGTTTTCAGTTGCATATACGCCTGGGGACCATTCAGGCTTGTTTGTATTATTTATATATATATATATATTTATTTATTTTTTCAATGCAGAATTGTATTGAAAAATGCAACCTACATCCTCAAAATATCCAAAGAATTCCCCCATAAAGTAAACAACCAAAGGTGCAAAATTGCTCTTTTCACCTTTGTAAAAGGTGGGGGGAGGGGGGGGGGTTCTAGCTCTGGTGTCCAGTAGACATATCTTCTTGAGGTTATCTTGAGATGATTTCTGGGCTTAGTGTCCCCATGGCCCGGTCCTCAACCAGGCCTCCTCTTTGTTACACATCCTCAGGAAGCAACCTGTAGCATCTGTCTTAACTCCCAGGTACCTATTTACTGCTAGGTGAACAGGTTCATCAGGATGAAAGAAACTGTGCCCATTTGTTTCTGCCTCCACCGGTGATCAAACCCAGAACCTTAGGACTACGAATCCTAAGTGTTGTCCAGTCAGCTGTCAGGTCCCAGGCATACAAAAACTCTGCGACTGAGGACTCCAGGTAGTGTGGCACTTAATAAGTAGGCTTGCTTTAGGGATTCGATGAGGCTCCCCACAGAAAAGGACATATGAATCATCACCCTATGAAGCAATAGCTCTGATAGCCACACCCTCATGCCAACAACTGGCTGCAGAGCGAGGGTGTAGAAATATTTAAATTACACACATAAGAACATTATGCAGTACCATTAGTACAGGGACCACCATAGTACCCATACCTAATTAACAATGTAAAGATAATTGGAGAGAAACCAAAAATGAACTCTGAACACCCGTGTTCAGAGATTTGACACAAGGTTGGAACTACAGTATATCAAAATTTGAGGAGGCAATGGAGACTAACTACATTCACATCTTTATATGTAGATACAATAAAAGAGCAAAAGTTTTGAGGGCAATTGCAACAGACCACCAACAGCTAAATACCCAGGTGCAAGAGCTGGATGCCATTCCCATAAAGATGAATACAGTAGTAAGGACACACAAGCAGTGCTAAAAAGCCTGGTTACTGTCAAATGTAAATTTTTGTTATTTATGTACAGTATACAATACAGTGGGGCCTCGATTTACGATGGTAATTCGTTCCCAGAGACGTATCGTAAGTTGAAATGATTTTTCCCATGAGAAAGAGAATTGAATTAATCCATTCCACACCCTCAAAAATATCAACTTAAAAAAACATTCTATACTGAATAATTTTTTTTTCTCTAACTACAATACAGTACATATGTTTAGTTTACCTTTATGGAGGACTCTTGATGGCGTATGGAAGATGGTGATAAGGGGGAAGGAGAGGTGTTACTGTTTAGAAGGGGAGTCCCCTTCCATTATGACATCAGGCTGTGAGGACTTCTCTGGGGTACACATTCTGGCACGTTTTGCCTGCTTACCACTAGGACCTGCTTCTGACTCACTGCTTGATTTTCTCACTAGAAATCGTTCTATTGAAGATTGTTTCTCTCTTCTTTGCAACACTTGTCTGTAGTGAGGCATCACATTGTCATTAAGAAGATCAATGCAACGGCCTACTACAGCTTTATCCGAGTGATTCTTTTCAGCAAAACTTTGCAGTCCTTCCCATACTGCACACATTTTCTTAATTAATGAGGAAGGGACATCCTCTACTGCTGCCTCCTTCTCCTCCTTCCCTGAAGATTTATTGTACTGCCTCGCTAGTTCAACAACACGAGTAGCATTTTCATGTTTACGAATGATCTCTTGTTTTTCCTCTATGGTCATTCTTACATGTGTTTTCATATGTTGAACCTTACCACTGACTTTCTTAGGACCATGGCGTGATATATAATAATCCGTTTTATATTCAAAAAGCAAAAAAAATCACCACAAAAATGGAATTTCTTATAAGCGTGATCGTCACTAAGAGGGCGGCTCTAGTAAACTGAGGCAGGTCAGCCTGCACGACCGGGAAATATACGCTCGGTCGACCCAAACGTGTATCAACAAATATCGTTAGTCAACGACACTATCATAAGTCGAGTCACATTTTTCGATCAAATTTACATAGTAACTCGAAATTATCGTCGGGGCAATCGTAAGTCGAGGTGCCACTGTAATTCATTGGCTGATATACATTAAATAAAAGCTTTATAAACTGCACATAATACAATACATTTACATAATATACAAGTGAGAGAATTCATGATAATTAATCTTATAAAGTAACCTGTCTAAATAGTTAACAGCCTTTCCCTGTCAAAGACTAATAAAAACCTTCAGTATATTATTACTGTAGGTGCTTGCAAAATGCCTTGCAGGAAGCCAGTACTAATTAAATTTTAGTTGAGCTTTAAAAGATTCAATATGAACTAAGATTCCAGTTTTCTACTCTAGAGACAGATACTGTAAAATGTTTAACTGTTACCTGAATTGCAGTGTTTATATTGAAAGTAGTTAAGCATACCTAATATAATGTAAAAACTTACCCATAAAACCAATAAAATATGATGCATGGTTAGGCTTTCCACCTATGAGTCCCAAGGATTGTGGCATCTTGAAACATTTCTGTAGAAAATTATAAATTGTCAAAAACTATTAAGTAATATTCATTATTTTTCAGTTTCTTTAACACTACAAAATGCAGTGTAAAACTCTCAATGTAATTCCTAAATTTATCCTAGATTTAGATCTATTACAGTATACTATAACTTCTTTCTGAAGTATCCCACTAGTTGCTCCGTAAGACAAAATCTATAGCATTTGTATATAGGATCAGCAACAGCTAGGCAGGTCAACATTTAGCACCAGCACAACAGGAAACTTTCACACTGTCCTATTCTGATCATGCTGGCATTAGGAAGACGGTGGAGAATATTCCACCAAGCCTAGAGTGTAGACAGAAAACTGCTTACCATAAAACCCAAAACCCTACCCAAGGGACAATTTGCCAACACCGAGATAGCCAAGCTGTGTCCTAAAAAACTACCTTGAGTAAATACTACCTTATCTTTGTTCGGGCTCAGGCTACTCTGTCCTTCAGTATATCATACTCTGCATAATTGGTAAGATGAGCTCTCCTCATATGTTACCTAGGGCCTTAGTCTCTCTTATGTTCACCCGAGTAAATGCATTCTGTATCAACAACAGAAGGTGCATTCTGCATTCATGTTAGTTTTCTGGCACCTTCTCATAGTTCTCCAATCGGCATAATTATATATTGTCCTGAACAGGCTTTTCTAATGGCATTCTACACCGGCATGGTAGGGTTTCAAGCGCATGTGGCTCCGTTCATCATGCTACATCTTCCCCAGAAACGCGTTACACTACCCTGCAGCACAAATATCCTTTGCCTTTCTGTCTTGTAGTCTGAGTGGGCCTTGCAGAGCAGTACAGTATCCTAGTAGCTTAGCAATTGTTTGTGTTGCTAGGTTCTACCCGAGGTTTTGGTAAGCACTTAATGACTAAATTTGAGCAGGATTGAATAGTTTCCACCTTTTCCTTAGTACCCATTTGATTTGGTGAGACAGTTTGAAAAATTTGCCTTTGAGTCAGTGGAAAGTGTCTCGATATGCCTGCCTGTTGCTGATCCTATCAAGAGGTGATTAGGCTCTTACCTCAGGAAGCGACAATGTATAGTTCAGAGAAAAACATATTTTATAACTGAAAGCTAGTTTTATAGGATCTAATCAGCACAAATCTCTAAAGATGCTTTGCCAAGTCATACAGTACATGAATATTGCAAATATTCATTGTATTTTAAGATTTTATCTGCTTAATTTTATTACTAAAGCAAAAAGAGCAGACTATTTTTTACAAAATGTTATAGAAAAGTTTCATATTTCAGTTAGCCACATTGGGATCATTTTCAAATGTTCAAGTAACACCAATCGATGAAAAGGCTTCATTAAAGCAAAGGAATTAAAAACTTTTCAATAATGAAGCACAGTAACCCTAAGAATGGTCCGCTATGCTGATAAATTAATCACCCATCTTATAGTTTAATGCCATTATAAATCAACCATATGCATAATTAACTCAATTAGCACCTGAATAAAAAGTTGACCACTGATATAATGCAAGCCGAGGTTAGACTTGCATTGTGTTGTGTAAAAGTTGGCCACTAGTGTATATGTAATACAAGCAGAGGGTTGACTTACATGGTGTAATGTTAACTACTGGTGTAATACAAGCAGAGGGTTGACTTACATGGTGTAATGTTAACCACTGGTGTAATACAAGCAGAGGGTTGACTTACATAATGATACAAAAGGTTGACCACTGGTGTAATACAAACAGAAGGCTGACTTCCATGGCAATTACCTAAGTGTAGTTACAGTATGAGAGCTACGCTCGTGGTGTCCCGTCTTCTCAGCACTATTTGTCATATAACACTTTGAAACTACTGACGGCTTTGGCCTCCACCACCTTCCCACCTAACTAATTCCAACTGTCTACCACTCTGAATTGGCCTGGTTTTGTTTTACACGTGTCTGCTACCCCTTTCTCTAAATTTCAAATTTCTAGATTTCCCACTGCTGTGTAGTTGTTTCGTGCTTCTCTGTATTGTTCTTATGTTTGCTGGTTCGTCCTCTTCCTATATTGATTCAATTTTTGTGTCTTTTGATCTCTGGCCCTTTTAAAATTTCTGTTGAACCAATCCCGTTTCCTAGTTCTGCATCTCTTGTTTTGGTATAAAAAAATGAGTGCCTTCATCATATATTTAAAGAAATTTTGACATTTACTTCTTTGCCCAACAGCAAGTCTTCCCAATCAAATTCATTAAAGAACTTTTTAAATTCCCCATAGTGTCTTCTCCTGAAATCAGGTTTTTCAACTGCTTCAACTTCCTCATTCTCTTTTAGATTATAACACATTGCATACTTTATTCCCAAATGGACATTGGTCACTTTTGCCCAAAAGGGGGGAGGTACTAAATGTCAAATATATCTTATTTTCTTGTGAATATCAAATCCAACATGAAAGGAATATCCCCTTCCCTCATCCTCGTAGCTTGTTTAACCTGTTGATACATAAATGTCTCTAGGATGAGGTTTACGAATCTACAGATCCAAAAGTCCTTTGTTTTAGTTTCATAGGCCTCCCGGTCTATGGATTTCAAGTTGAAGTTACCGACTACCAGCAGTCGTGATCTATCTTTATCCGCTCTTGCCATAATCTCTCATGATTGTTATGGGGCCCTCTCACAGCTCCTCTGTCCATGTGTTGCATGATGGCGGACTGTAGGTGTTTATGATTATCCGTATATCATGCTGATCACAAATCGCCAGTGTTATTATGTTGACTTCTCATTGATTGACAATTATTATTTTGTTTTCTTTTAGGTGTTCTTTCATGAGCACAGCAATGCCTCTACCTTAACTAATTTTTCTATCCTGTCTCCAAATTCAGTAGCCCCTTGGGAATACTACTTGATATTAGACTTGCTTTTTGGCAAAGCAGCACTTCATAGCAACCTGGTTCACACTGCTCTTGTTTTCAATGCTTCTGGTGTTTATTCAATTTCCTGTTCTTCTTGTCCTAAAATACATACTCTCTGAAAGAATGCTCTCTTCCATCAAGTTAGGACCTGAAATCTTCGTATAGCTTAATCTTATTACAAAATAATCTTTTCTGCTTCTACTCTCTCCAGACACCATCTTATTGAATTGGCTCTCATGCACAACATGCCCAACACAAACCTTACTCCTGGCTTTGTTGCTGTTGACTCTTGCCTTTCTCGGCACACAGTTAAATGATCTAATCGTCTTAGCAAGCATGATCCTTTATTATTGTGTTAGTTTGGGTTTTCATGCTTTACTTCTCCACTTACTCCTCACCTTCCCTCTTGCCTTATATTGGCTCCTTCTTCAAGTCTTGCTCAGTTACAACTCGAGAAAGATCCAAGACAAACCAAAATGTCATCACTTTCATTTAATGTGTGTTTGGGTAATTTGTTTTCACCCAAATTTTTCTGACTTTCTCTGCAAGTACAATATATGATTACATTTGATCGTTAATCAATGTGATCAGGCAATTCTTGCCTGTAAATTACCTTAAGGCCTGAGAAATAGATAGGATTCATTTCAGAAAGTCCCAAACGCAGAGGAATAAATAGTAGTAGTGGCCGCCATATTCGATCTCCTTCAATTTGGCAACTGCACCCTGTAATCATAAGAAGCCATCAACCATTAAGTACCTATTTCATATCAGTTAAAAAATATATATATGTAAGATTTTAACTTCACGATTCATGACGATAAAAAACCAGCATTAAATGTAATGAAATGCCAATTTTTGGGTGCGCCCCAGTGGCTCCCTGAAGCTATGACTTCCAATTTAGGTGCCATCAGTCAAGGAGTTCTCTAGCCAACCTGAGACCCAGCACCAGAACTTAGTCCCCTCACAAAGGTGCAGGGAGCTGTGGCATTTATATACAGTATAAAGTTATTTATGTGCCACCATGAAGGGAAGTACCCAGAAAGTCAGGGAGACAAAACAAACCACATCATGCTTTTGATACCTGCAGCCTTGAAAAATGGTCATAGAACTCTCCAAACTATGAAAAGAAATGCCCGAAAATGTTATAACTCATTGCCCGCTCGTTCACCCCACCCTTCCCCTCATTTAGGGAAGGAGGGGGCAGGCCACAGCCCCCATGACCACTCCACCGACAGTTCAACAAATGATGTAAGAAACCCTACTCCCCGGGGAGGGAGAGGAGTCAGGGAGCCACCGGGGCTCACCCAGAAATTTGTGTTACATTACATTCAATGCTGGTTTTGAGGGGAGCTTCTTGTGGCTCCCTGAAGCTAACTACCCACAAAGAAGGAAGAAATGAGCACCTACCAGGGAGGAGGGAGCACTGCTGTATCCTAGTAAAGATGAGACCATCGACCTAGTAAACCAACCCAAGTCATACGTGGCACTGAAGCCCAGGAACTTTAATCAAGTACTTTGGTGCCAACACTCCGTTTGACCTCTAGAACCTCCGCTCTCGAATATCTGCCCAGGACATATTAGCAAAAACAGCAGAAAGGGCTGCATACTTACAGACATCACAGGCACAAGGATAGACCTAAGGTTGGCTAGACTTAATGACATTGCGGACGACCTGAGTAATACGAGCCTTAGAACATGGAACCAAGGAACTGGGATCAATCCACATGACGTCCAATGACACAGAAGTGGTGGCATGAACATAGCAATGGAACCACCTCAGGACACAAAACATGATGCACCCCCCTACCTGTTGACTATCTGAGATTTTGAGGATCAATGTCACAGTGGCTCAGTCTCTGACCAGGTCTCCTGGTTGTTGGTCTGATCAGTCAGGCTATCTGAAGCAGCTGCTCACAGCGAGGTAGACTTCTAAAAGAGCATCACCCGAACATTCCCAGGAAGAAAACCCTGGAAGCGCAAGGAAAGCACTATTTCCTTCCCAGGGAAGAAAACCCTGAACACATGCAGCTCCAAGTGCACAAAACTCCTAGCCCACACACACAAATGTACAAGGAAAAGCCACCAAGGCAAAAGAAAAGCCATGAAAAACACTGGGGTCAGAGTGACAGTGGCAGACTCGGCACAGAAATGTCAGCACTGTGGAGAAATGCCCGACAGACCACTGGAACATTATCTAACACAGTGAACAATTACAAACCTGATAAGATTTCAACTTTGATTCAACAGAGCAGAAGAAGTTGTTAAACACATGGGGCATAATCTTACTGAAGCGAACATATGAGTCATAAATACTCATACTCTGCCTAAGTAATACAAACAAATAAGCAGGCGATGAGTCACAATAACGTGGCTGAAGTATGTTTAAAGAAAAAGATAATGCACACGTTAAAGGAAAACTGACGGTGGTGTGGTCAGTAAGCTGTGGACTGCCCTCCTCCCCCTAAACATTGGGGAGGTTGATGTGAGTGGGCGCTGGATTATAAAATTTTCAGTCGTTTGTTTACATAGTTTAGGGAGTTTTAGGCTGTTTTTGAGTTTGCAGGCATCAGAAACAGCCAGCTGTGGTTTGTTTCATCTCGCTGGTTTTCTGGGGGGCTTCCCTTGGTGGTGGCATAAATGATTAACTTAATATATAAATGCCACAGCTCCCTACACCTCTGTGAGGGGACCAGGTTTTGGCACTGGGTCCCTGGTAGGCCAGAGAACTCGGCGACTGATGGCACCTACATTGGAGATGTAGGTGCCTTCAAGGAGCCATAAGAGGCTCTTTCCCAGAAAATACCATATATATCAAAGAAAATTGTTTAAATGCTGAGAAAACTAGACAACCAATGATGCTAATATTACACCTTTGAATTACTTCATCTGCTGCCTACTTCAGTTAATGCAGTATATCAAGAAAAAGTCATTCATAAATGCATATTATTTTAAGCTTACATTTTCCTCCTTTATACAAGATGAGGATTCAGTTCATTATTCAGATAAATGGAAGTTCACCAACATCTTAAAAAACTGACTATAATGTACATGCTTGTTTAACTAAAATGTAAGTAAAGATTACTGTTCCATTTAAAGAAATACATAAACTTGTGCAAAGGATAACAACTATGTACCACAATATAAAAGAGGAACCCAGAGAACAGAATTAAACAAATCTTTTCATAATCAGGAGAAATCTTTCAAGTGATAAAAAAGGCAACATGTCGAGGGAAGTATGGATCAACACAAATTACTGTTCAGGAACAAACAGTATAGCTAAAAAACCATCAGGAGAAGGTTTACCATTATTATTTTAATTTGATAAGTGCTCTCACATGACAGTAACGAAAACTGAACACAAATTTCTTGCAACTGTGAATAAGTTATACAACATTAATGTACTTCTGCAGTTCGACAATTAAAAGAATTTAGAAAAAAATATGAAAAACTTACTTATTTCATCCATAATTACTACATTGTCCATTGCAACATTAACACTAAAGTTGTTCCATTCATCAAATGGTGTCAATTTCCTGAAGAAGAAGAAAAGACTTTATATAATGGTGTCTTTAACATACTGATACCTCAATGTTAATGATGTAAAAGAACCAATGTTTTAAATATCTTGTTCTGCCATTTACTCGATTTAACTAAGCACTCTTTCTCATCTGCACATGAGAAAATAGTGAGGCACTGTGACAGGAGCAAACTGGCATCTCCAGTGAACCATGATGAGCCTCAGTATCTCAACCAGGAGTTGAGCTTATCACACACCCTCAATATTTTATTATACATACATCACAATATTGTAATTTCATTGTGCATCTTGGTATATGCAATACAGCAAACCCCTAACTTACTACTGTATATCCTTAAGCATCTCTCTCTCACTGCATTTCCAGTACAGTAGTACAGTCCTGGTAGTACACTCGGGTTCGCTCTCGACTCACTATTGAGAATTCCTAGTTCAAATTCTGGGCAGGAAATAGGTACCCAGGAGTTAGTCAGTTTGTTGTGGGGTTGCATCCTGAGGGTCAAAAGTTCGACCGTGGGGGGAACCGCGATATAAACCTAACATGTATACAGCCCATCCTCTTGTTTAGGTAGTACTTGTAGTAATGATGAGGACCACTGTACATATACCGACGTAAAAGGCAACTAGAAAGTAGAATTCGGTACTGTTGAGTTTGAACATACTAGAAAACTTTTTGTACTGATGTTGGAAAGAAAACTTAACCTAACCTACCATTCATAGGCCTAATACACACTATCTGAGGCCTAATATAGTTCATATATGTGCTATATTAGGCCTAGGAATATTTTAGTTTGGTGTTTAGTTTTATTTTTTTCAGACTATGTAAAGTGAATACAGTACAGTACCAAATTCTACTGTCAAATTGTCCATTACGTCTATGTATGTATGATGGTTCACATAGTTACAAAAAGTACTACATGGAGAACAGGAGGATGGAATGATGGCCGTCTGTCCCATGACAATAAATCACTAATATTATTATTATTATTATTATAAATCACCATAGTACTATATTTAAGCCATACTGCACTGTATTTTCTCCATGTACGTTCTGATGAGTGGAACTTAAAATCTTAGTCCAAGTATTTTTTGCATGAAGTATGTTCAGCACTCATCCCATGGCTAATATTCTTCCAAATACATTATTTTAGTAATCAAATTATTCTAGTATTTAAAGAGATTCGTACCAATACGGTTTCCCATTGTCAGAGACGGGCAGTCTTTTCTGCTTATTGAGGTCCAAGTAAGTCAATGACTGACCTAGCTCCAATCACGTCACATGATGTTTTCTTCAGTTATCCAAACACCCAGAAGTACAGAGGTGAGGCTGGCATCCACTTCTTAACAGGGGTACAGGTATATATACCCTTTAATAATGCTCTAATGACATTTCATACAATTTTTTAGATGGAAGCAAAACTATAAGAAAGAATTATGGGTTAGAGTGTCAACAATCATACAATAAATGAGCACATGTTTAACACCTTGTCTGAAAAACAAGTTTCCCCATCTTGAAATATTCAAAACAATTACCAGGTTCTCAGGAAGATAAAACATCTTGTTCCATTTAAGAGCTTTTACAGCAGACCAGATATGGTACCCCTGCAGTGCCTAGGGGAATTTGGTGTCTCGGGTTTCTCCCTTACACCCTCCCTGACTCTTTACACACACCCTCCCCATCTAACCCGCCCCTCTCCATATCCTCCCATACACTCCACTTGTCCTCAACATACATTCCCCCATCTCCTCCCAGCATAAACACACTCAGCCATCTCCTCCCTCCCTGGCCACACATGCCCTTTCCCCATCTCCTCCCTCCCTCCCCACACACACTCTTCTCCCTCCTTGCCCACACATACCCTTTTCCCATCTTCTCCCTCCCCCTCCCCATCCCCACATACATCCTTCCCCAGTCTCCTCACTCCCCCCCCCTGCCCACACATGCCCTTTCCCCATCTTCTTCCCTGCCCACACATGCCCTTCTCCCTCCCTGCTCACACACGCCCTTACCCAGTCTCATCCCTCCTTACCCCACACACACTTTTCCCTGTCTCCTCCCTCCCTGCTCAAACATGTCCTTCCTGTCTTATATCTACACTCCTTTTCCCCATCAATGTGACTGAAAGATTTCAGTTACATGAAAATGAGTGTAGGAGATCTACAATGAAAATCTATATAAAAATATCTTTTAAAAATCAATATCTAAATTCACTACTTAAAATTATGCTAAAGTCTATGGACTCAGGGCTGAACATTTCACTTCCATAGACTATGTGAAGGCGAGTCGACTGAAGCTGTGGACCCACTCGGGAGGCACTGGGCCGACCCAGACCCACACATGACACTCCAGATAATATCCTGCAAAGTTTAATGCAAAGTCCCAAGCATCTGGCCTCCAATCTCAAACATTCTCTTTTACAGATATAGATCTGATAAATTAGAGGCTTTTATGATGTAGTTAGCAGTGAGCACAGGGATAGTAATGAGCTAACCAGACAACTTTTCAGACTGACCCATCAACCGGAAAACTTTTTTTCTCAACAAATTGCAAATAAATAATCACTTAATATGCATAACCAATGTTTGAATATAAGAAAAATTACTGTAGTTTAAAATAAATTACAGTATAGTAGTTTTTATTTTGAGTTTGTTGTATTTTCTGAATACAGTACACATACTGGGTATACTCCAGGTATAGTACCAACATCGGCATGATGGAAACTACAAAACTGAAAGTTGGCCACATTAAACCACACAAATTTCAAATTTTTATTCACATACAAATCAGCCCCACAAATTCCACTGTGCAGAACCAGGCTTTTATTTTAATGTATCGGTGTAAAGATTTTGTATAATGTTTTTCCTATAAACAAAGTTGCAATTGTATAAATTATTATATTGTATCTCTTAAGTTGTTTTTAAACCTCACCTCATAACCTGAGCAACTGTATTTGGTCCATACCACTCTCCTATTGGCTTGCCCTCATCCACTCCTAGTTGTGATATGATGTGCAGTGAGAAGGTAGCACACTTGTGATCCTCAAACATGCTCATGATCCTTAAGTATGTTTCATTGGATGTTGGAGGAGTCCAAATCCAGTCTCTGCCTGTTGAAGAAATTAATAAAAGTAATCAGTCACATCAACACTCGACTGAAGTTCAGTTGTACAAATTACAATTGCCACTGTACTTAGAATAAAAAAAAAAGTCCATGCTACTGTGAACTCACTCAATTGTGCTCCAGCTCATTGGACTCGCCTGTAAACCTTCTGTCAACTCGAGTACTGATTCCCGAGCCTTTTTGAACTACCACATCTACATTTAAAATTGTGCATGAAGTTTGCTTCCACCACCTGACTTCACAGTGTGTTCCATTTGTTCACAAGTCTAACAATGAAAAAAATTACTGTAAAAGGACAGTAATCTGAATTCCAGCAACTCGAATATTCGGGAGATACCCAAATTAACCCATGGATAAAAGGTTATGAACATCATTTTCAAGTAAATGGCAAGAGTAGCCGAGTAAATGGTGGGAGTAGCCAGATAAATGCCAAAATTAGCAGGCCATATAAATGGCAGCAGTAGTCAGGTAAATGGCAGGAGTAGGTGGGTAAAGAGTGGGAGAATCTGGATAAACGGTGGGAGTAGCCAGATAAACAGAAGCAGCAGCCAGAAAAAATGGCTGGAATAGTCAGACAAATGACAGGAGTAGCTGGATAAACAGCGGGAGAAATATGAATTATGTTGGCTGTGGTACAAATAATTGTGAATATTAATTTTTGGGCATTCCCAGTAACATATTTGGTTAAGTTGAATGTTTGCTTAACTCAAGCGTGGGTGAGCTTCATATGGTTCCAATTCCTGAGCATAGTGTAAAGTATCTGTGGCATTTTTGCAACCCCCTCTCAAAGGAATTGATATGGAAGACATGGACATTATTTGGGATGGATATTACCTAACAAGGTTAACACAGAAGGAAAATGAATACCCAGTTGAGTAACCTGTCCTCCAAAAATGATACTGTAGTACTTTACCCGATGAAAAGTTAAGTTTTCATTAATTAACATACACTACTTTTTATTTATATATTTTTGTATTTATATATACAAGAGTTCTTACATTCTTGTACAGTCACTAGTACACGTAGCATTTCGGGCAAGTCCTTAATCCTATGTTCCCGGAATACGACCCCCGCGAAGAATCGTTTTTACAACCAAGTACCCATTTTACTGTTGAGTCAGAGGCTACAGTTAAGGATTTGCGCCCAGTAAATCCTCCCTGGCCAGGATAGGAACCCAGGACAAAGCACTCACGGACCGCCAGGCGAGCTTCTTAGCACCACGCATAGAGACTTATTATTTTAGGGGAGTTCTAGGGGAATTTTAGGGGAATTCAGTACTCCAATTACTTTACTAATTTGACAGAAAATAGCAAATGCATTTAGAGATTGCTGTAGCACAAAATGGAAAACTGGAATTTAGTGTAAATTCAGATAAACAATAAAACCAAATTAAGTTTTGTACCACATTTAAATTTACAACTTTAAATTTATTGAAGGGTTAGAATGCTTTATTAAGGATACACACACCACAGACTCTGCTAATTTCAGAGCTAGAGGGGGATCATAAACTCAGCTATTCATATGCTACAGGGACCACAAACTCACAGCTAATTTCATATAAAAGAGCATTGGTTTCCAACCTTGTATTACCCATTTTCCATCCACATTCTTATAAGTGGAGTCCTACAACCATGTTCTCACCTGTGGACCCCTTATAACTACGTCCTCACATTTGAACCCCTACAACACCAATGATTTAAATAGTACAGTATTAACACTGCAGTGGGATCCTAGGATTTGAACGTTCTCATAATCCATATTATTTCCTGACTGATGCTATATTTGCTTGGTTATGTTTGCTAATTATCAGGTCATCAGACATCATAATTCACAGATCTGTTACGTGTTTTTCCTTCTATGAGTAGGTCGGATTGTGTCTTGTATCCTGTACAGTATTTTGTTTCAGTTCACTATTTCCACCGTAACCAAGTACAATACTGTACCTGGAACTTATCATATTATTTTCCATTTCCCAACTGAAGACTCTTGTTAATATCGGTCTGTAGTTTTTGTGTCTTCAACAGAGATAATTTTCAAGCCGATTTTTGTATTGTACAGTATCTGCAAGGACTGACACAAAGGTGTGTGAATTATTTTAGTCTATATCTGATATGAGAGTGAGAAAATGCAATAGTGCCAGGACTGTGCCCTGGGGTCCAGAAATCTTCACTAAGTTTGAACTTTATTTGATTTGATTGATTGTTACTCTGCATTCTGTCTGACAGAAATTTGAAAATCCAAAGCCCTACCTTTTGATCTCATTTTATGGGCTCTCACTCATGGTCACACTTATCAAATACCTTTACAAAGTCTATGTATACAAAATATGCATTTTGTTTTCCTTCTAATGCGTCTATGATTTTGTCATAGTGGTTGAGTATGGTAATTGCAAAAGGCAGGATCTTTCTGCTCTGAATCCATGTTGATCTGGGTTGTAAAGTTTGTTCTCCATAAAACTTGAAATTTAATCACTGATCACTCTTTGTAAAACTTGAATTGTGTGGTGTTAGTACAACTGGTTTATGATTTTTTGCCAAGGCTTTACTACCTTCCTTTGAGTGGTAGAGGACTGCAAATTGAAGTGCTTCTTGAATCTCTCCTGAATCCAAGCTTTTCCTCCATTTTACACCGAGCACTTGTGCTACTGGTACTTTACATTTCTTTATGTACTGAATATTGAATTCCAGGAGTCTGGACTTTGGGTTGCTTGCATGGGGCATGCTGTCAATTTCCCTTTCAAAATCTTCTGTGCTTTTGTCATTATCAGTTATATTGTCAGAGGTTTCGATATTGTTCATAAAAATTGCTGTCTGGATCTTCAACTTTCATGTTGTTTATTGGTCTGCTAAACATAGCCTTATGGATCTATGGGTCTTAAGATTTAAGATATCACTCATTTCTTCGTCATCTTATATGTATGAACATTCCCTTGAAAGTATAGGTCCAATAATTAAGGAGGATTTTGATTTTGCATGTGAAAAAGTATTTTGGATTTTCCTTAACTCTTGTACAGTTTTCTGTTCCAATTTCATTTTCTCAGACTGGTATGATTGTTTAGCATCTGCTATATTTCTTTTATCTCCTTGTTTAGATTTTTTTTGACAGCCATGTCTACTTAAGCATTTCCGTAATTTTTTCCTTCTTTTGTAATCATCTGCATTCTCTTTCTAGAGTGGTCTTCTTTCTGACCCTCCGTAGAGGCATATGCTTCAAGCAGACTTTGTTCACTTCACCAGTCAATTTTTCTATTGCTCGTGTGAGACTTTTGTTATTTAAGACTGTTTCCCATTGGATGTTTGCAAATTCTATATTTTCTTTTTCCCCAGTCAATCCACTATTATTAAAATTGAATTGACTCACAGCTAATCAGATACTGTATTAGGGGTTATCTCGAGATGATTTCGGGGCTTTAGTGACTCCGCGCCCCGGTCCTCGACCAGGTCTCCACCCCCCAGGAAGCAGCCCATGACAACTGACTAACTCCCAGGTACCTATTTACTGCTAGGTAACAGGAGCATCAGGGTGAAAGAAACTCTGCCCATCGTTTCTCGCCGGCGCCCAGGATCGAACCCGGGACCACAGGATCATGCGTCCAGAGTTCTGTCTGCTCAGCCACTGGTTCCCTTAGATCATAGACTAAGATTAACAATATTCTTTTAGACTAAGATTAACAAATTAAAGAATATACAACATGCAGAAATCTTAAGCTCAAACAAAGGGAATTACCAAAGGACATCGAAACATACTGTACCTAAATGTCTTCGGAGAAGAGCTTCAGCTAATACCATCTGTCCGCAACGCAACATACATCCCCAGCCTTTGTCAGATGTGTAAGTTGTATCACTAATCTGAGCAAAGTTTCTCCGATACGTTAGCCATATCCTCGAATGTACATCATTACGAAGAGGTTCCAAGTCTAAAAATAAATTGACATATTCAGAAAAATGTGGATCATTGGCAGGAAAGAAATAACTGAATTCTCTGGTAAGAGAATACAATACAGTACAGTACAATACTTCATTATAGCAAAATGAATAAGAAAGTCAATACAGTATCTTCCAGTTCCAATTCATGCACAATCTGTCAATCACACCTGAAAATTGCAGCTTTAAGACCATTACATTTTCTTCCATAAATTGTAAGCCTATTTTCCCTAATAAGAAACTGACCTGTCTGTGTTGAGTACTCTTTTCCTAAGATCCATACAGGTTCTTCTGACTTAGGGAAGTCTTCTGGTTCACTCATTGCCCCTTCGTACGTCATACACGCTGCAAGTACATTACCCTAGTATACAAGTTAATACTGCACCACATTTAAACATTAATTAATACTGTACTTTACAATAACACCATAACCATGTCACAGGAACAATGCTAGTACTGTACATCAAGAGAAGAAAATACAAATATAAATTAATTACTGTACAGTTATATTTAAAGTAGACTAATACTGTAACTACACAAATAACTAACATACTACCATTTTAAAAATTTACTGCAAAACCAAAAGTAGAATATTTTTTAAAACCTACTAAAAATCATGGTGGAAAAATTGCCATATAAAGACGATGGTAGAAAATTGAATAAATCCACTAATACTGTATATTTAGTCACTCCAGCTGGCATATATTTAATTACTGGAGCTACTATACTATGTACACTCGAGACGCCCAAGAATTCGTCAAAGAGCAAATAACAAAATAACAAAATAATTAGAACAATCATGCCCATCAATAGTCAGCAACCTACAATACATACTTAACACCATTCAAAGCAGGATCACATTCTTTACACAACACCTTAAACAGAACATAAATGTCATTTTCTAAAGCTCTAACATACCTATCATCTTAGAGAATTTATGAAGTCGCCCAATAATAATATAAAGGTAAGAATCGAGAGCTTGTATGATCCAAACCAGGTATCTGCACCACCGATATGGAACTCTATGGACCCATCTTCCAATCATGGTCTATAAAGAAAAATACACAAGTTCAACTGAAAACTTGAATTGTATTCTTTCAACTCTTTTTTTTTATAGCTACGCCTTTCATATATTAAACCTCAAAATATTAATGAATGGGAGCAGTGTTTAAAAAATTAAGAAGCATAATCCAAAATATTGTGACTACGGTATATGTAACATCATATCCTGGTTCAGAGAGGTCCTGTCCACATTTGTAGTCGAAATGTGCCATTAATGTTATCACACACACACATTTCAAATTAAATGCATTATATGATTCAAATATTTGGATTTATAAAATACAAATGCAACTGAAGTGGCTATTAAGTTAGTGCATGGTAGTGCATGGCACTTTGTAAGCATCGGTAACTGCTTAACCCTTAAACGGCGCAAAACACACAATTATGATTGAACATAACATCAGTTTTTCAAACTTGCACATAAACTTTCCAATTTTTTGTGCATAATCAACTAGGAAATGCTCAAACTTTGTATAAATGATCACCAACGTAACTTGAAAAACAAGAAAATCAAACATTTTTAAAATAGAATATTGAAAACTTTATATTTTCAAATCAGATTAGAAAATATAAAATATCACAATTGTTCATTTGCTGTTATTATGCTCTCAGAATAGCATATGATCTTCATTTCCATCAAATTAGAATATAGGTTTTCGATACAGTTTACTGTAAAATCTATTCATAATGTAAAGTTTATGAAAATCTATTTTATAGGGATTGTAGAGCAGGCAACTGTGCACACTATATGTAAAAATGGTGAAAATCAGTCTGAAACTGGATTTTTTGATCTGATTCAAAGTTGAAATTCTAGTTATAGATACTGTATAATTGAAGTTATCGACAATGAATAAGGTAGTTCAAATTCATTAATTTACTTGTATGTAGTAAGTATTATTAATAAGTAAACATTGTTTGACATATAACTTTCAAATATGTGAAAGTTGTAGGTCAATATGTGTTGAAATGAAGTCAAGAAAAAGTAACCCCCCTCCCCCCCCCCAAAAAAAAAATACTGTACAGTATAGGGATAATTATAATAATTATAATGATTTAAGGGATATATTTAAGGAATACTTTATATAAGTGAAAAACCCTAATCATCAAAAAAACCTAGAGACAAAGCAAATAGAGTTTAAAATCTGAGAAAAAATCAGCAAAAAAAATCAAAGTACAGTACCAAGTTCTGCAAGTTGTGACCGATTAATTTGCCGACCAATTTCATTCTGTCTTTACATAGTTAGGGATGAGTATGCATTCTCCAGGATGTAAAGGTTACAACAAAATCAGATAATAAACAATTGAGAAACAAAACACTAAAAACAATGAAAAAAAGGATTCCCCCCCCCAAAAAAAAAAATATTTTTTGGACATTGATGAAAGTAACAGATATTCACATTGGGCAATGTATTTACAGTATATGATATATAACAATATAGAGCATAATAACATGCTCATTATTATTTGTGTTATTATGTATTACTCAGCAATGCTATAAAGGCACCAGCTGCATATCCATTTTGTGGACACTTCTTACCACTATTCTTCTTTGTGCGTCGGACAGGTCTCTTTATTACTGCATTATCCATCAGTTCCAATTAATAGGAGCTGTTCTCCTTAACAAATTTTTTTTTTTAAATTGTCTAAAATCAATTTCTAAAAATATTTTGATGAAAGTTTCATGATGCTAAAGCTAATAAGTTGGAGATTTGTTTAACTTTTTAAGAAATTTTTACATACAGTGGTACCTCGGAATGCGAGTGTCCCTGTATACGAGTTTTTCGGAAGACGAGCAGGATTTCCTCAAAAAATATGTCTCGGAAGGTGAGGGTTACCTCGGGACGCGAGTTTGTTGATACGCGTACAGGCCGACCTAGCGCGTGGTGATTCGGCGATCGTCGCACCTCCACCCCTCCGCCCCTCAGTTTACCATTGTCTCGCGCCCAGTGACTACCTCACATCAATTCTTCTCGCGGATTTTCAGTGTTTTGTTGGATTTTTGGTGATTTGACTATACAATTTGTTGTTATATATCTCACCATGGGTCCCAAGAAAGCCAGTGGTAAGGATAAAGGCCAGAAAGCCCATGTGAGGATGACAATAGAGGAGAAACAAGAGATCATTCGGAAGCATGAGAACGGTACACGTGTTGTTGAACTTTGTAGGCAGTACAACAAAGCCACATCAACAATATGCACTATACTTAAGAAGAAAAATGAGATTATGAGTGCTAAAGTGGCAAAAGGAGTCAGAACAATAATGAAACAAAGACCACAAATACTTGAAGTGGAAAAGTTGTTATTAATTTGGATACACGACAAGGAGTTAAGGGGTGACTGTTTCGGAGGCCATTATTTGTGAGAAAGCCATGGTTTGGACAGATTTGTGGTGAGGAAATTGAGGAGTGAGCCTCAACCAGGACCTAGTGGCACTCAGATAAAACGTCCCAGGGAGAGCACACCAGAAAGGTCTTCACTGCCTGATGTGATAATGGAAGGGGACTCCCCTTCCAAACAGTAACTCCTCTCCTCCTCCCCCTTCCTCACCATCTTCCATACGCCTACAGCATTCAACAGCAAGGTAAGTAATAACTGGAACATAGTTTTGTAGGTTTATTTAGATGAATTAGGTATACAAATTTAGTTTGATGTGGGGTTTTTGGGGTAGTCAGGAACGGATTAATTCATTTCCCTTTATTTCTTATGGGGAAATTAGCTTCGGAATGCGAGTTTTCGGAATACGAGGCGTCTCCAGGAACCAATTAAACTCTTAAACTGAGGTATGCCTGTATATAATTCAAATATTTTTCGCTTCCAAGCCCGTTTTGTGCCGTTTAAGGGTTAAGGATGGTGTGATTCTTTGTGCTCTGGTCCTCAAAATACAAAACACATCCTTCCCATGAATATATTCACAATACATCCTAAACTAATGAACACAGAGAGCAATGCGTCATGAGGATATTCTTAATTATGAGGTCGTTCCATCAGTTATTATACACAGCATAACAATGACATTTTATCATTCGAGAAATATGAAGTGATGTGTGTTTTAAGTACTTTACTGTGAACTAATTTAGGCTCAAAAAATATTGTTTTGTAGATAACTTATAAAATACTGTATGTACAATATCCAGTGCTGTGGTCTGAAGATCAATATTTGCATTGACATTAAAAATTCCTTCCATTCACTTAAAAACCTGATAATCGATAGTGAAGAATTTTGAGCTAGTTTGAGTGAATCACTTATTGCGTATGACTCGTTTGTCAAGTTGTTTTGTGGTTTTGAGACTGCTTTCTGTAAATCCTCCGGTTGTCTGTAAAGGCTCACTGACTTTCTAGAGGCTTCAGACTGTCATCTGCTTCCTGTGCTTCCGAAAGGTGGGAGGAGGCGGAAGCCAGGTTCTGGTGCCAGTAAGCCAAACAGAACTTCAGCAACTGATGTGACCTCTTTTGTATGTACAGTACTAATCTCATAAAGATAGCTTCAGGGGAGCACCCCAGTGGCTCCCTCCAAATAAGTGCATTTAGTTCACTTACTGAATACAATCTAAGTTTACTAATGCAGACAATGAGTCACAATAATATGGCTGAAGATATTTTTGACCAAACCACACACCAGAAGATGGAGAAATGATGACATTTCGGTCCATCCTGGACCATTTTAGAGTTGTGTGATAAATGAGAGGAAAGTACAGTACTGTACAGGCAAATAAGTAAATGAAGCGTTTGAGATAGGCGAGCAGGAGGTAAGAGTAAGATGAAAGGTAATGCAGACAAGGAGTCACAATAACGTGGCTGAAATATGTTGACCAAACCACACACTAGAAAGTGAAGGGACGACAACGTTTCGGTCCGTCCTGGACCATTCTCAAGTCGATGGTGTTTGATTCACAATCGACATGAGAATGGTCCAGGACGGACCGAAACGTCGTCGTCCCTTCACTTTCTAGTGTGTGGTTTGGTCATGAAAGGTAATATTAGGATGAAAGGTAAGACTGGAATGAAGGTAAGAATAAGAGGAAGGTAAGAATAAGAGGAAGGTAAGAAAAAGGGGGAGGAGATTTAAGTCAAGTTTGTTAAGAAGGTTGGAGCATTTAAGTAAATACTGTGAAAGGGAAGAGTCAACAGCAACAAAGCCAGGACTAAAGTTCATGTTGGGCACGTTGTGTATCAGAGCAGATTCAAAGAGGCGGGGCCTGTGAAGAGTAGAGGCAGGAAAGATTCTTTTTGAAGAAGGATGATTAAGAGTCCTTAACAAGACAGACAGAAGAGTGCAAAGTTTGTGTCTGCAGATTTAACACTTACTTTGTGTCCTTTTGTGTTAAATATACCAATGTTAAGGACAGGAAACCTGTTAGGTTGATGAAAAAAAAAAAAGTTTCCCAAGTAACAAGTGAGGCTGCCCACATGGTCAAGCATACACTTATTAATCAGATTCAATGGTTTTTAACCTCATTGACAAAGGAACATGCATGTCATTCATTGCACCTCGCATACAAAATACCTGGTAAAAACCATTTTCCTTATGTTCCAAGTTTATCCATTTCTTATTATTTTTAACTCGGAACAATTACAGTACATTACTACTGTACACAACGATATTGTATCTGGCCTTCATAGTCCCCGCCAATGCTGTTACCTACACCTACTGACAAAATGAGGAGAATTATGAAATGCGTGCACTCCCCAAGTTGTGCAGCACCTGTCTGACAGAAGCTAATCTCAAATAAATGAGTTATGAACATTTGATTACTCATATATTAATTAAACTACAGAGCTAATTTTGTAGTAGAGGTTGGCCACTTTGTCATCAAATTCCTTAGTCATAATTATTCAGTATTACACTATACTGTACAAGGAGTACAACAACTGACAAAATCAAATACCAGTATTCCAACTTCACAATAGGTTGCACAATGAGGAGCTGGCTCTTTCACAACCAAACTCATCATACTGTACAGGAATTATACGTCTAAAAATAAAATTCAACAATATTACAGAAAATTAAATTGGTTTCTAATAGTCAGATAATAGTTTCAAAATTGTTGGGCAATCAAACATCCACTTAAAACAATTTGGCTTTTAACGGTCAAGTTTTGACTGTCAGTTTGCAGAACCCTTCTATGTAGGAATAAAATCATTGCTACAAGTCACTAACCTAGTACTGTACAGTCTTAGGCAATTCAAAGCATCATTTATTCACAACATACTGGTGTGAGATTTTATTAAGCTGGATTTTGAAAATCACCAGTATTTTGGCATAATTATTTATGGCTTTGGTAGGTAAGAAGTTCCAATGATTTAACCCTATGGACAAAAATCCATCTCCTGTTTCCTGTGCTGCATTGTGGCTTCTTGAGCTTGAAACCACTGTTCCTTGTTCATGTTACATCTGACCTTTTAAAAAAGTGGTCTGGATCAACATCCTCCAAACTATTCACTATTTTAAAAGTGTCAATGAGATTAGCTCTATCATGTCTGGTTTGTAGTGTCATTAGCCCTGTGGCCCTTAACCTTCCTGGTATGAGTCTACTTAGTTCAAGAATGATTTTTGTCACCCGGTATTGAGCTTTCACCAAAGCAGATATATCTTTCTGAAAATGAGGTCTTCATGCATGGATACAATAATCCATGTGGGGGTGCACCAGTTACATAACCACTGTACCTTCTTTTCCAGGAAAAGTTTCGTTTGACTGTTCCTAGTATTTTTTTTTTTTTATTGCAGCGCCCATATGCAAACTTTCGATGATTGGTGGATTGATGCCAAGGTTCTTTTCTTCATCAATATCCTGTAAGGCAATGTTGTTGACTTGGTAGTTGTAAGGTGCATTGTTATGCCCCACATGCAAGGACTTGCAATTTTTTTATATTGAAAAGGCAGTCTTTTGCCCACTTGTGGCGTTCATGCAGATCTGTTTGTAAGGCCTCAATATCTTTGTCACTTCATACTTCAGCCTTAGTCTTTGGGTCATATGCAAATTTGACTATGTGGTTTGTAATATTCTCATTTATGTCACTGATGTACAGTACATGACAAAAAGAGTTAGTCTGAAAATGGAACCTTATGGAACAGATTCATTCCCATTTAAAAAGACTCTCTGCATTCTTTGTTTTAACCATTGTTTTATCCATTCTAGTACTTTACCATTTTTTTTGTGTTCTTGAACTTTCCTTTCCAGTCTTATGTCATATCTCATCAAAAGCTTTAGCAAAGTTCATGTATATTACATCAACTGGAAGTCCTTTGTCTGAATAGCTGGTTACCATTTCCAAAAATGTGAGGATGTTTCTAAGACAGGATTATTTTTTTGTTATTTACTCAACAAAACAATTTTGAGTTAATTTTACTAGATTGTTCACCACGATATCTTGAATGATTCCATTCCTTAGAATTCTCTCCACGAGTTCTATGCGAAGTCAAATTAATTGGACAATAGTTTTCTGCTGAGCTTTTTCTGATTTTTTTTTTAAATACCTGAAGATACATCCAAGGAAGAGAGATGTACATCACTGCAGAAGCTAAAATACGGTTAAGCTGCAAACATTGATGAGCTTGTGTAGAAATTATTAAATGCTGAAGAGAAAGATGTAATGGGTGTGGAAAATTTGTCAGAAAGCATGGAAAAGTTGTACTGAGAATTAGGATGAAAAGGCTGTGATTGTCAAAATTATATACTGTACAAACATACTAAGTAAAAGAATAATATGTAAATGCATTACAGCAGTTGGTTTGCAAGAATGTACAAATTTTAAATCCAACCTATTGCACTTCCTTTGAAAAATGTAGCAATTGGAAGACTTCAGAAAGTAACTGCCAAAATTGTATACAAGGTGAGTTCCACCGTGAAAAAGGGGTATGTCCGCCATTCAGTGTAATATATTTTGTAGTGCCAAACCAACCAGCATACACCCTAGACCTGCCTGCACCAAACAGCTAGCCGGACACTAAGGAAGTAGGGAGAGTCCTTTCTACAAGTCATGTTAATTATTTATATGCAAGATAATCAATAAACATGTCAGAATCCTCAAGATGGCCTATTACAACACCAGCAGCTTACACTACAAGTTGCCTGTATTAGGCTTGTCTATAGGCTTAATACTATACATTTTAAAAATAAGTTTTCAAGAATACACTGGCAGTACTGATCCAGCCAGCATTTCCTTACCAGTATTCTTAGAGTTTAGAGCACAGAATTTCATATAAAAAATTATATTTTTTAAGTTCTTTGCTTACTAATAGCAAAGTACTGTATTAAAATGCATGTCTAGGAATTTTATCATCATAATTATTATTGCCTCATTTCAAACTTCTGTAATTGTCCTCGATGCAACCTCTTAGGTTGCCTAACTCCAGGCACCAATTTACACTTAAGGTGAACTAAGACATGAATGGGGGGGGGGGGGGGGGAGGACATGCCCACCCATTTCTGTCCCGCCCAGAAATTTAACCCAAGATCCCTGATTGCGAGTCGAGAACAAAGTCGCCTGCACAACGAGACCTTGTATGTTAGTGTCCTGGCCCGGGGGCAAGACTGGGAATGACTCGTTAAGCAACCAAATATTCATTGCTCCAACATATGATAAGGTACAATCTGAGCTAAAGGTAAGGCAAGGTAATTATCAAAAGAAGGCACCAAACTGGGAAGGCTATGTAGCACCATCAAAGTGCGAAATAATCAGAGGGCGCTAAGTAAGTAATTATCAAAAGAAGGCACCAAACCGGGAAGGCTATGTAGCACCATCAAATGCGCAGAATAATCAGAGGGCGCTAAATATCACCAAGGATGCCAATACGAGAACAAAAACGCATAAGGCGAACGTTATCAAAAGTATCCGAGTCATCAAGAATTCTATTGAGGGACAGGTGACCGCGAGGGGCAGTCGGAAAGCAAGACACACACTCGTCCTGGAAGGCAGGAAATCTGAGCTAAATGTTTTGTTTATTGCACTGCATTTAGCTACCAAAAATATTGAGAAGATAAAACGTGGCAGCAAGTCAAACGTACTTCTTAACCTAACAAAAATGAATTAACTCCCAAAGTAACGGGATGTTACATATAAGGAATGATATACAGTAATCAGTTTTTCTTCCCCTCAATAATACACACAAATTCCCCTTAACAAAAAACATTATGAAAATAAATAATGTCTAGCTTGTCACCTTCGCCAAGATATTGACTCCCTCTCCTCGTCAAGGCCGCTAGTGTTAGTGACCCTTGGGTAAAACTCAACTAAATATATATATACCAGAAGGTATATTGGGTTGTGAGTCTAAAACATTGGTGTTTTTAGCATTACATTCTTGCAAAGCCACTAACACACACAAACAGTATTTTTAAAGTCCTTAAACTAACTGATAAATGTAATATGGGTACACTGTAGCAGAATTTGAGTTCAACATAATACTGTAATTTATTTATATGTTGACAGTATTGATTACACTGGCGAAGTTGCATGTCTTAAGTACGAAAATTGGGCGAGTGGGTAACAAAATACTGTGAAAGGTTGGAGCACTAAGTGGGAAACCGAGGATGAAATTGGGTACTTTTTGGTTTGACTTTTGAATAAAGTATAGTTTAGACAATCTTTTAATTCATTAGGGAGCGAGTTCCACAGACCGAGTCCTTTTATTTGATTTATCCTAACATATGAAGTAATGAAATCCTATTTGCAATTTCTTAAGAATTAATTTTCGACTGGTAAAACTAACCACAAAGACTTTCCACACATCTATTACAAGCGCAAGTGACGAGTGTCAGGAAAACTGGACTATCCGACCAGACCCATCACTATTCCGTCAACTCATTACCTACTATCGCGTACTTTCACACAAACTCTCACTCTAGCACCGTACAGGACGCGTGAGAATGAGGGCGACGAGGCAATAGTGAGAGAGTGAGATAGGAATGAGAGAGAAAAAGGCAGTAGTGGTCACCTGCTATGATCTCGTCCATGGTCACTTGTCAACTGTTTGTTGTCTCTGTGACGTCACCACCCGCACCACGCTTCGAACTCGCCTCAAACAACTACACCAGAATTAATATTTTTTGTGTGTGGCTTTCAGAAATCCTTGTCACCAGTCTATTCTTGATCTAACTATCTAAATTACAAAGAAAGGCATATCAGTAGTAATTGTTTCCATCTCCTGGCCATTAATATAACAATATTTGCAATATGCCTGCAAATGTGAGTGTTGCCATTCAGGGTTCGAAGCTTCAGGTAGTGTCCGAGGCAGCTCGTTGATGATCGATGTAGACGGGAATCACAGCCGTTGTCCTCATGAATCACGTGGGAAAAATTATGGTTAAAATAGCAGCCAAATTGGCAAGCCTATAACTTAAATCTTTAATGTTCCCGTACCACAAATAAACATAATATTAAAAGTGGACTATATACCAAGCGGTATTCATCGTGTTACTGTAATTAATGGTAGTTAAAAACGCTTTAAATAGACGGTTCCGTCTAATTACCACAAGCTACACAAGCTTCACAAAGCTTCTTGGCAATACTTTAGTAATGAATAAATATGATATGTTAAGTTAGACAGACCTAACCCAACCTAACCTAGCCTAGCCTAACCTAACCTAATCTAACCTAACCTAACTTAACCAAACCTAACCTAACCGAAGCTTGGATCGTCGACTTGATTTGGCGTCACCAGCTTTTTATTTTCGTCTAATTTCTTTATAAAAAAGATACTTTTTCAGATTAAATATGTTTTTCGTGTTGTACATTCAGCACCAACATTATAATGAGTAAATATATCATATTTATTCATTACTAACGTATTGCCAGGGAGCTTTGTCTATATTCTGTTTGGCAATAAATCCTCTAGTCTTATAAATCTCAAAATAAACAATACCCAAATTTGTAACAAATTAGATGGCAAACAAACATTAACATTGACAAAACCTTCTATATTCTGTTTGGCAATAAATCCTCTAGTTTTATAAATCTCAAAATAAACAATACCCAAATTTGTAACAAATTAGATGGCAAATTCCTTGGCATTCTCATTGACCACAAGCTGAATTTCCAGGGACACATTCTAAATATATCAAAAAAAGTTTCAAAAACTGTGGGTATTCTTTCTAAGATCAGATATTATGTACCGCGCCCTGCTCTGGTGACTCTCTATTACTCCCTTATCTATCCTTATCTCAACTATGGTATTTGTGCTTGGGGTTCTACTACCCAAAATCACTTACGTCCTCTAATTACCCAACACAAAGCCGCTATTAGAACAATATCCAACTCTGGCCCCAGACATCACTCGGTACCCCTACTCAAATCTCTTAATATGTTAGATATTAAGTCACTGCACATTCTCTCATGTGTATTATACATATATAAAACGCTAAACTATAATGCCAATCCTGATCTTAAAAGCTTCATAGAAGGTTGTAACAGAACCCATGAGCACCACACCAGAAATAAATACAGTTTTGATATTCCTAGAGTACGTCTTAATCAAACTAGAAATGCTCTGCAAATCAAGGGGCCCAGAATGTGGAATGACCTTCCCAACCATGTTAAAGACTGTACCTCTCTCAACCAGTTTAAGATAAAAACTAAACACTACCTAATAAATTCCCTGTAATCTACCTCACTCCTCTATTGTCAACCCATGTCTGTTATTTTCTTTTTTTTTTTCTTTTTTTTTAATCAACACTGTCAACCTATTGTATTTGTGCTGCTTTTTCAGTCATGTTCCCCCTTTTTTTTTTATCTTTATTTGTATTTGTTCTCAACATCTTTTATTCTTTATGCTCAATTAGTATTAAGTTCTAGATATTAATGTTTTTCTTGCCCGAAACGCATTGCGTAATAGTGGCTTTAGGCATTGTATGTACTAGCTCTATCTATATATCAATCCATTAATGTAACATCACTTGTATGTATATACCTTACCTGAATAAACATCTGAATCTGAATCTGAATCTGAATCTTGTGAAGCTTGTGGTAGCTTGCGGCGGTCCATAGAATTACCCAAATCGGCCCAAAACTACACAAATCGTCCTAGCATTACGTAAGTAATGAAGAAATATGGTATATTTACTTACTATAATGTTGGTGCTACACGTAGAACATGATCAAACCTATTTTTACTCTGAAATAATCTAATTTCATAACGAAATGAGACGTAAATATGTGAGAGGTGACGCCATAGGAAATCGACGGTCCAAGCGACAATTGTGTGGAGCGACTTATCCAAGATATATGGTCGCCTGGAGAGTGTTTGCTGCCATATCAGCCTCCTGTACACAGTGATCCAGTCGTCGCATTTCATGGCTCAAATTGTCGCAAATTTAATTGGTGATATTAAGAAGTAGAATGCGTATTTATATAATATCTTTCATAAACAGCCATTAAATCTTTAATATTTATTAAACAAAACGTGTCTGGAAGTTAAATCAACTCCACAGGACAATAAATTTGTTATATAGATACTAGCGTTATTCGTTGGTATGCGTTCGCAATTTAAACTGCTCATGTCCTTTTCGTTCATTGAACACCGAACCCTACACAACTGTAGCGAGTAGATTATCCCAATAATATACTCGCTCCAAATGCATTGTGAATATTCCTGTCAACCTTTGGAGATGAATGAGGTGAGGCGTTGCCCGGGCAACACGGTGAGGTGTTGCCCGAGCATATAAGCAGCAGAATAGAAAACATTAACTAGTCTACTTTCAAGTGTGGTCTAGAGCAGACACTTGCGAGATACTGTACCGACTCTCAGTGCGCTCAACTCACACCAAAGTATCACCTGTGTACTTCTGTATATTCGACCAAATATATATATAGTATCTTAGTGTCTGTGTTTATTTGTCACCATACTTTACTAACAATAGAATCGTTACATTGGTGTCCCCAGAGAGTTTCGACGATACCCAGCCACGATGGACTACAACATGGACTCTCACTGGACCTCTACTGCTACTGTTTGCTGTGATGGGGGCCACAGGGGCCCAGAATGTGGAATGACCTTCCCAACCATGTTAAAGACTTTACCTCTCTCAACCAGTTTAAGTTAAAAACGAAGCTATACCTAATAAATTCCCTGTAACCTACCTTACCCTTCTATTGTCAACCAATGTCTGTTTTTCTTTAAAGAGCGCTGTTTGTCGACATAATTGTATTTGTGCTGCTTTTTCATCTATGTTTTCATTCTACTCATTATGCTCAATTAGTATTAAGCTTGTCATTTACGTTTATCATGCCCGAAACGCTTTGCGTAATAGTGGCTTTAGGCATTGTATGTACTAGCTCTACCTATAAGTCAACCAATCCTTGTAAAAATTTATTGTATGTATGTACCTTACCTAAATAAAATTGTATTGTAATGTATGGAACACTGCCAACACCCTCGTCACAGCTATGATTTTCATCGCGTCCATCTCTGCATTTTCATCTACTACGGCTTGCTGCTCCACGATCGTTACTCACTCATCTGACAGCCTCATCAATGATTACATCATGTTGGATCTACAGCTTGTCCTGCCGACTCTCCGTCGCTGCCAGGGCACTGCTTGTCCTACGCCCACGACAGCTGCTCTGTCATCAGATTCATCTACACGTTCACTGCATTTTGATACTCGGCCGACTCAAGCCCTTTGCGCAGTACAGGACTTACAGCTTGCATTTCCGACACTTCGTCGCCTTCAGGACAATTCAGCTCTAGATGTGATTACCTCGTTGTCCTAACTACGTGCCTACATTACCTCCTAATGTAATGGTGCCCGAGCCCATCCGCCCCGGATCTAAATGCTCCACCAGCGACCCAAAGACGCAACAATTATGCACATTCTTCTCTCCTGCTACACCAAGCTTGTCCACACACTGCCTACATCTTTTGGTACCAGACTACAATTTCCACAGTCAACAAAATGTAGTACTCGGCGTGTACAGTCCTAATCAACCCAAGACGCTACAGCTTCGACACAGAGCAGACAGCAGACTACGACCGCATCGAGCCGCCACGCTCTCGCTCCCCGAGTTCAGACACTCACAATTCTCAATCGAGCCACCACGCTCTCCCACATAGAGCTCCACGACTCCGGCCTCACTCAGCCTTCTGCTCTGCTCCAGGCTTCGTCTCAACGTCTGCGACACTGCTAAATCCAGAGACACATCCGCCGACTACGCAGTTCACTTTTCGACCACAGTTACCAGCAGCACCGCCACCTATGACAACGGACGATCCTGTACGACCTCCCACCCTACGACCCCAGTAAGATGACAAGTTATGAAACCGGAGCCCGACCAGTTGTCTAACCACAAGCCTAGCATGAACGAACCAAACAAACAACCTCTGGATCACAACCATGCACGAACGGAAGCCCGACCATGCACAACCCATAGCCCAAGTGACACCCCCGGAGCCCGACCAGTTATTTAACCGGAGCCCGACCAGTTGAGTAACCGAAGCTTGCCCAGTTGTGTAACCAGACCCCGACCAGTTGTGTAACCGTAAGCCTAGCAAGTATACATCTCATCCAACCCCCATAAAGCTAAACAGTCCCAGAGCACAACCAAACTCCATTCCTAGTTCGACCAAACAAAAATCTGCTTAGAGCTACCTAAAACCCTCCACTTGTCCTAGAAACACACTATGGAGCCATATCAAACAATTGAACTATACACAAAAAAAGAAACCAAAATTTCTAGCAAACAAACATAAAGCCCTTGCAAAGAAGCCCTTGCATTGTATGTACTAGCTCTATCTATATATCAATCCATTAATGTAACATCACTTGTATGTATATACCTTACCTGAATAAACATCTGAATCTGAATCAGAAACAAAGCCCTAGCAAACAAACCTGGAGCACTAGTACACAAACAACCACTGGAGCACAACCATGTACGAACAGGAGCACAACCATGTACGAACCGGAGCACAACCATGCACAACTCAAAGCCCAACAAGTCACACCCCCGGAGTAATGCAATCGGAACCCGACAAGTTGTGTAACCGGAGCCCAACCAGTTGTCTAACTGCAAGCCTAACATGAAATGGTCACTGCTTGCATCACAAGCGGGGATGTTTCTGGCGGGGGAGAAAGAAAC